AGAGGTAATGCCGCAAAAAGAGGTGGTGTTCCTGCAAGATGCATGACCCGGAGTCTTCTTATAGCTTAAGACGTTAAAGAAGCACTTGTTGGGAGGAAACCCAACTGATACGACTATCATATTGTGTTTGTATGTGTGTGTTTTTGTCTTTTTCTTGAACTCCAAATCTCCTACCCTAGAAACAATTCCAACTTTCACTCACCAAGAAAAGTGGTAACGTCGTTCTGCCCTTATCTTACACCATTGAGGGCAATGTCGAGCTTAAGTGTGTGGGGGTAGTCTACTTTTATGCTTGTGTGAGTGTGATTGATGCCTGGAGCCTTGACGTATGCCGAAATTTGAAAAATTTGAGGGCTCCAAGCAATGTTTGCATGATCAAAGTGACCGATTTGTAGGAGAATCTTGTGGTTATTGGCATTGACCTTGAATTGTTGCATGTGATCGATTATGTCCTATGATGATGATTGAGAGGTGAATTAGGATAGTGCAAAGGTTTAGTTCTCATGTGTGCAAAAATGAATGGATGTTTTGACTCGATTACTTGTTGATTACAATTGCCATGCATGTTGCTTTGTGAATTGGAATAGATGGTTGGGTGATTAGGTAGCCATGTGAGCTTTGAGCCGATCGTTTTCTTCTTGTGTGCTTAGCTCCCTCTTACCATGGTGAGTAACATCACAGTTGTCACTAGTGAATATGATAGAGGCATAGGATCAGTCCACGCCCAAATGTTGATTGTCCCGAAATGAATTATCTACTAGTCAACCCCTTTGAGCCTTGTGACTTAGGGGGTCGTTCTCATGTTAGGAGCTTTTTTCTTTTGAGCTTAATGGTGTTAAGAGAACGACCCCCATCCTTTCTTCGTGTCTCTACATGTGTCGTCCTTGTGTCCCGGAGCTCTCGCTTTTGAGTTCCATTGAAGTTCTACATAGGTGGATTGTGTGCGGTTCTTGCTAGGATCGAAAGTGAAAGGAAGAGTAGTGTTGGTCGTTAAAAGTAGTGTGACATGTGTTTAACTCTCTAGTATCCCCCTCAAAAAGAAAAGAAAAAGGAAAGTAGAAAGAAAAAGAAAGAGAAATGAAAAGAGGTAATAAAATAGGGTAAATAAAGTAGAGAGTGCCACAAGGAATCAAAGAGTATGCCCTAGGTGAGGTTTCTTGGCACACAAGCCATTGAAACCTCCACATTGTCTTATAACTCCTTCGCCACCAAATCAAAGTGTGATAGCAAGAGTGGACCGAGGAAGAGTGCTTAAGGGAAGTTCATGATGGGTGATAGTTTGGAAGGGAGAAGCAAGGTTTTTGGCCGATGCTAGTGGCCGTTGTTTGTGAGGAAGGTTCTTAGTCGAAACCATAGAACCTTCGGTTTTAGGGCGAAGATGTAGGACCTCATGAAGTGTTTGCCACCACCCAAAAAGCCTTTTCCCCATGTCCAAGCCAATCGCCAGTCATTTGAACCCATGTCTAAGACCTCAAGACAAGCTAGTGATGACAACCGTTCCGTGAACTCTAGCATTTAGAGGCTGTCGCCATGGTGTTGAGACGATAGGACCGAGAGTTGATGATTGTGCACATCTTTTGCACCAAAAGGTCCCGACCCCACTGGTCAAGAGAGCGAGTGATTCATTCTTGTTTTGCATGCCATATCATACCCCGGTGAGGACCTTTGTTGCCCATCCGTTTGTTCCTTGGACACGAACTCTATGCATGGTTAGTTGTTGTTGGTAAGTGATCTTGTTGAAACTTGCATTGATTCATGAACAAGGTGAGAAATTTTCATTTGCCCATTTCTGGTAGCCTCGAATGTCGTTTGTGGTGGATATAAGTATTTCTTGCAACATTCCTTGTGTTAATTGCAAATAGCCATTTGGGATTCGCCACTTTGTGCCCTTTGAATTGTCCCCAAAGCATTTTGATAGGTTGAGTTTTTACCTTGTGTGGAATGGTTTGCTTGGGGACAAGCAAACGTTTAAGCGTGGGGGAGTGATTGGGGCCTAATTGCACACATTTTTATCCCCGTTTCTCTTGGGCGTTTGTAGCATTTGGACTCCTAAAAGGGTGGTTTACGCTAGGTTTTGTGCTTTTAGTGTGTTTCAGGATCCAACAGGTGAAACTAGCCCGGAGTCGAAAGTTGGACGAAAAGAGGTGAAGACCGGGCAAAGAGGGTGATCCAGGCGCAGTTCACGGTTTCCCATGGAAGTTCACTGTCCACTATGACCGTGAACTGAAGCCCAAAACCATGAACCGCAATGCGTCTAGAGAGAATTCTGCAGTTACTACCACAGGACGAGTTCACGGTCAAGAAGAACATGAATATTGAGGCCAAACCGTGAACTCCTGATGGCGAAGCGGTGCATTTCAACATCGCGCTCTGTGTTCACGGACGCGTTGAAGAGTTCACGGTCGTGAATTGAGGCCGTGAACTGAGCCCGTTCCTGGTATATAATGTGAGCTGAAAGGAAGAGAGAGAGGAGAGCCCAAAGTGTGAGAAAGTGTCTTCTTCAGATTTTAGAGAGAGAAAGGACGAACCAAGGAAGAAAGAAGGATAGGGTTTTCTCTAAGTGGTGGATTGGGAAGATTTTCCCCAAGAGAAGGTCAACACAAGCTCAAAGGATATTGGAGGCATCACCATGATGGTTTCTACCTCTTCCTCTTGTGTTCTACCCCTTCATAGCATGGAGTAGTACTCTTTTTCACTTGGGTGTTGTGAAACCCTAACTATTTGCCATGTAGTTGTTGGGTGAATTGAATGATTGTATATGGGTGTTGTTTAATTCAATGATTGAGGTATTTTTCATGTTGATTGTGCATGTTTGTGCTTAGCAATCCAATTGGCCATTCTAACCTAGATAAGAAGGAAACCCCCCTTTCAAGGGAGGCTCAATTGAGTTGGGATTCCTTGGTCCTTTTAAGCCACCTATCTAGGTTAATGTAGGGAAAACCTCTACGTTGAATTGAGCAATTTGGTTAAGCGTGATTAAGCCGACCAACCATTGGGTTGAGTGAGAGAGTAAGTCAGCCATCGATTGCCTTAACCAAGAAGGTACTTGAGTAGCCTATAATGTATCCCTTGGTTAGCAAACGAGAGTGTGGTCTACAACCATAGTTGCATTTCCTAGCGGTTCACGATCACCTTGCCCTTAACAAGTAATTCAATTACTCGTGCCATGGTAGTAGTTAGGGGGAAGCGACACCCGAGTGATCCTTCTCACATAGAGCTTTTAAAACCGTTTACTTTTGCCTTGCTTTACTTTAATTAGCAATCTTTTCAACCAAAACCAATTCGCTAGATAATGTTTCAAACAATTGAAGTAGGGGTACACGGACCGGCCTAAGTCGATATTTAAACATACTTGCCCTGTATTGCACCCTACTAAAGTTTATACTTGGACCTTAGGCGAGAATTAATTGTGATATTCGGGACGAGTCACCTTTGAAACCTCTCTGGATGCGTCGTGGTTCACGATTTGTGGTTCCAGTTCACGGTCCTGGCGATCGTGAACTCGCTGCATGGACCGTGATAATTGCTTCCAAACCGTGATTTTGGACGTTTTTTCACCTTTTTTGCACTTTTCGACCTCCAATCGACCCGAAACTCGTCCTCGACCCTTTCACACGCGCTAAGACTTGAAATGTATCAAACAAGCACAACCTAGCGTTCGAGGGACGATGAAATGCAAAGCCAAACTATCAAGATATGAGGGGTAAAATGTGTACAATTGGACCCGAATCAATAGGCCAAACATGGGATACACTAATGGTGAACACTGTTCGAACAGTGACAGGTTTCAAAACCGGGCTGTAGGTATCTGAAAAATCAACACCGGGGCGTTGTTGGAAGCCCTTGGACACCAGCCGGGCTCTATAACCATCAATGCTCCCATCTGATTTTTGTTTAATGCGGTACACCCATTGAGAACCAACAATATCCTGAGTTGTTGTGCGAGGCACCAAATCCCATGTCATATTCTTCATTAATGCATCATGCTCATGGCGCATAGTTGCGTTCCAATTAGGATCATGGAGAGCAATCGCAACATATGCTGGGAGAGAGGATGAAAGAGGATACTTGACAACAGAAAATAACTTCTTCGATTTAAATATATTATTCTGAGAGCGAGTTACCATTCTACGTGGGCAGGGCAGCGCAGGAGGAGCTGCGGCAGGAGCTGTCGGTGTGGGAGACGACTGTGATTGTTGTTGTTGTGAGTCCAAGCTGGTGGGGGGGGGGGGGGGGGTAGCACTGCAAAGCTAGGGAAGGGAGCACCAAGGGACAAGAAGAGGGTTGGGAACCTAGAGAGGAAGACATAGGTAAAGGAAGCAGAGTAATAGGTGGTTCAAGAGCCGGTAACCAAGCACTAGCTGAATAGTGAGTAGGCGAAGAGGAGGATAATGCCAGGCCGGGAAATTGGGTCTTAACAAAGCGAACATGGCGGGAAACAAATACTTTGTTGGAGGACGGATCATAGCAGTGATATGCACTTTGTTGTGATGAATAACCAATAAATATGCATGGGCGTGACTTTGGGTCAAGCTTGTGGTGGGAGTATGGCCGAAGTCATGGGAAGCAAAGGCACCCAAAAATCTTGAGTTTGGTGTAATGGGGATGGTCAGCGAAGAGACTATAGAAGGGGATTGCACCATGAAGAGTAGATGATGGCAATCGATTAATTAAGTAAACAACAACTGCAAATACGTGAGACCAATGCTTGGTGAGGGAGAGTGAGTCCGGTCTCTACAATATGACGGTGTTTTCATTCAACCATACCATTCTATTCAGGTGTTTGAGGTAGTGTAAGTAGATGAGATATACCACTAGCGAGAAGAGAGGATCGAATTTCGATAAACTCACCCCCGCCATCGGTATAGAGATGAGAGATGGAGGTACGAAAGTAATTTTCGTCTAAAGCTTTGAAATCCAGAAATACCTGTAACACATCAGACTTGCGTTGTAATGGATAAAACCAGGTATAACGGGTGTAGTGATCAACAAAGATGAGATAATAAGAAAATCTTTCCATAGAAATAATAGGGGCAGAACCCCAAACATCGGAATACAAGAGATCGAGAGGCCGACTACTAGTTAAGCTAGAAATATGAAACGAGAATTTATGACTCTTGTGGATAAAACAAGAATTGCAAGGAGAAACCAACTGGATGGATTGAAAAGGTAAAACATGAGAATGAAGGAGTTGAGAGAGTGTCTTGGAATTAGCATGGCCAAGTCGACGATGCCATAAGTTGGGAGTGACACGAGTTGAGACAAGGGCGAGACGCATCTCTCGAAGATCCCTCGACAACTCATAAACGTTTCCTTTATTCCGGCCTTTCAGAAGTGTAGCCCCCGTGCTTAGATCCTTAACAACAAAAAAATTAGCAAAGAATTCAATAAACACCGGGTTAGCTTTGCAAAGTTGAGCAACAGATAGTAATTGTTAACAAATGGCGGGAACTCTTAAGATGTCACAAAGAACAAGAGTAGTTTGGGGAGTGGAAATAGAAGAATGACCAATATGAGAGATTTTCAAACCTTGTCCATCACCAACGAGGATCTTGTCTGGGCTGCGCTAGTCAGAATAGAGCGCCAAATCGCCAAGATCAGAGGTGACATGATTGGTGGAAGCACTGTCAACTAGCCAAGATGATGGAGGAGGTGGTGGAGCGGCAGGAACAACAGTATAATGAGCTTGACATGGTTGAGGATTGATACGGAAACACTTCTTGGCGGTATGACCAGGTTTGTCACAGAATTGGCAGATAAGGAAAGACCGAGAGCAACGACTATTGTCAGCCGGAGAGGGAAGTGGCGCAAGAACAGGCGAAGGAAGAAGGCTGCGGCTGTCCCTATTGTCTCGACGTCCACGGCCAACGTCGATAACACGATGATTGCGCTGAGTATTGTGCGTAGTGGTCGGAGATGCAGTAGAGCGAGGACGAATAGTGGCAATATCAGCTTCAAATTCCAGCATCTTGTCATGGAGATCTTTAATATTAATGGAGGAATCACGAGCTCTAATGGCAGCTGAAAAATTCCTTGTATTCTGGACCCAAGCCACGAAGAACATGGATAACAAGATCTTCTTCAGGAACAGGACACTGAACCAAAGAAAGTTCTGCCGCGAGATTCTTTATCTTCTGAAGATTGGTCGCAACACTCTGATCATTCTTTTGCATCATCAGTCGAGAACGAAATCTATTAGCAAACATCTTCTCCAAGATAACCCATGCCTCGTTTGCGGTGACAACAACAACAATATAAGATAAAATAGATTCTGAAACAAAGGCAAAAATAGCATGGAGGAGCAACTTATCCGGACGAAACCATGGATTGTAAGCTGGGTTGGGAGCGTCACCAATAGTTTTGGATGGGGCAGCAAGAGTGCCATCGGGATAACCAAGAAAATCGAGCCCCATGAGAAGAGTGAAGATTTGGGCTCTCCAGGAGGGAAAGTTGGTCGTCGTGAGCTTCAAAGAAAGCTGAGCAGCAGGGTTGATAGTGATGAGATTGGAGTCTCCAGCATCGACAGAGAGAGTGCTCTGGGTGCCAGAGCTGCTGTTATTTGTGGTAGTGGAGTTGGAACTCATGGGTGCAGAAAACGAATAGAAAGAGGAAAGCTGGAAAGGTGAGATAAGAGAGATAAAGTGAGGATCGGAAGCTGTGAAGCTATTATGCGTGCTCTAATACCATATAAGGTTTTGAGAATTGGTGGTTGATTCCATTGATTGAATGGCTTTAAATAGCCATACTGTACATATATATATAATTACAAAAGGACTCTAATATGTACAACCAACTAGCCTAGGATAAATACAAATACAAGATAATGACAGGTGAATGCTAAAGATAATTACACTTGCAAGTTACACTTATCTACGGTAATCATCTTTATCAATTGCAAGGTAATACCATTTTTTTTGTATTTCTATTCAATTCAAACACTATTTTATGTTGTATATGTTTTGGAATGAACTGATGAGTTATACTTTGGATTTGTAATTTTTTTATGGGTAGTGATAAATTCACTTCTAAATTAGTGTATTATATATGTATTTTAAATATAGCACATGAAAAATTCTATCAACGGTTAACCAACCGTTCTATATTGGTTGACCATTCAAGCACGAACCAATAACTTTTCCGGTTTAGCATCCTATCGGTTATGAAAACAATGGTTTTCTTGTAACCTGCATTTCGCAAGTGTCTCATTTAATGGACTAAATGTCTAATAAGAGTGAGGCATGGGTAATATCATAATTCATACCCTAAATTGTATGGACATGGTGAATGGTAGGCGGTAGCCCATATACTGGATAATTATTAGTTAGCCATTGGTTAGTTAAAGAAGTTGGAGGCCCATATAATTAAAACCATTTTGTGCGAAGTCCCTCAATAATTAAAAATAGGGCCAATTTCTCTATAAAGTACATTTGTGTACTAAACTATTCATTATGACAAATCTGACACAAACCACATAGATATTGACTAGATTTTCTGTTAAATACTGACGGTCAACGCCGATCAACATTAACGAAAAAATAGTTCGTGCCAGATTTGTCATATTGAATAGTTTAGGACACAAATGACACTTTTTGAATAGTTTGTGACTTTCTAGTGGAATTAGCCCTTAAAAATGAAATGAACAGAAGCTCCTTCCATGGTTTACGCTAGAGCCGGGAAAAGCGAGATTAAGAGGGTGCTGGAGGAGAACCTTCATATATGTATTGTTTGGCGATCATATGATTTCGTGGAGTTTTGGTTTAGGTCAGTGATAATACAAAGAGTGAACATGTGATGGCTGATGGGGGGAAGAAGCAGCAGCTGCGTCATTGCTGCCTTCTTCAAGTTCTTGTGGTAGAGAAATAAATCAAAGGGGGGAAAATTGACTTTTTCTAGATCATGAACATAGTTAGCAAAATACGATACAAAATAGTTACATATAAAATACGTATGGGTATTTTATTTCGTCTCTAATTTATGTTATGTATAATAGTACGTTAATAGTTATAAATTATATAAAAATAATTATTTTAAAGATAAATAAATATATAAATAATAGTAAAGTTAACAATTTAATTCATTAAATACGGATATTAAACGTGTTATATGAGTTTTATACGTGTTTAGTAGGGAGCCATCAAATGAATCGGAAAAAATGAAACAACTTGACAATAATACGGATACAAAATTTTTAAACGGATAAAATACGTATGAGTACATATACGTGTATAAAATGAAGTATTTACTAACTATGATCATGAATAGCCTTGTCATTCGCTTTATATTGATGTTTAACTTGTAAGCAGAGGGTTGTCCTGTTCTGTTTTGTTTTTGGTTGGCTAAATTATACATTTGGTCACTTAAATTATACAAAATTTTCACATTTGCCACCTGAATTACTTTTCTTTCTTATTCACCACTAACTTTATGAATCGTCTCACCGTTAGTCACGGGCCATTGCACTCCGTTAAATTTGTCCTACGTGGCAGTCAACTATAAAGTTTGGCCATTAACTAGATGATGCAAATTTAGAAAATTAAAAAACTAAATTTATTTTTCTACCTCATCATTCCACTTGCTTTGTCTAAATGATTTATTGCTTAATAAAAATTAATTTTGAGAGACGTTTAGGAGGAGGATTTTCATGGAGAAATTTGATTGATCAATAAGCAAAGGCTTTAGATATTCCAATTTAGTTTTTAATTTCCTTAATTTATCCTCCAACTATAGGTGTCAATCAGGCGGATTCGGATCGGATTTAGTCGGGTTGCGGGTCAAGCGGGTTGCGGGTCAAGTCGGTTTGGGTTAATCGGGTTCGGGTTGATTGGGTTGCGGATCAGTCGGGTTACGGGTTGATCGGGTTGCGGATCAATCGAGTTCGGGTTGATCGGATTGCTGGTTACAACAGGTCGGGTTGCGGATTGTTTGGTCTAAAGTATCAAATTTTTTTTATAATTAGTTATTACACTAATTTAAAACAAACTCACGGGTCACCATTTTGCAATGAAAAAAATATGAAGGTCAATTATTAAACAAATGAGTGGCTAGATTTTGCTTGAATATATCATAAACAAGTTGAATGTTGCTAGTTGGTTGGTACGTTGCAGGGATTATTAAGAATTTTGGCCAGAGTTTTATTGTTAATATTATATATATATATTGTTATAGAAAGAGGCTGGGACGGAGGGAATTTTGGCCAAAGTATAGGGCGGGGGTTTTAAAACTTTTTTCGGGTTTGGGAGGGGAAGTTTGGACCAAATTTTGGGCGGGTTTAAAAGCTCTTTTGCCGTTTGGGGAGGGAATTTTGGAGTAGACATTTTGGGGTTCAAAAATTTATTGTTTAAATTTTATCCGGAAATGTTCCCTCAATTATTTGGTAAACATTTTGTTCTTCCTTCTTTGATATTTATTATTATAAATGATAAATTTTATACCGATTAATTAGTTTGTGATTCGATTCGTTGATCGGGATGTCATTTGAATATGATATATTTACGATGTACATTCAGAAGTTTTCATAATATTTTAAATTCATACTTTTACCCTACAACTAAATTAATTGTTAAAATTAAATTAAATAATAAAATATAAAAACCAAAATAACTATCGTAAAACATAACCATGAAGAAATCCTAAACCCTTATCCTATAACACCATCAACCATACATTACCCTACACCACAATATTAAGTCATTAACCCTAAAACTAACCTCAACCCCTAACCATAACTCAAACACTGAACTCAAAACCATGACCCTATACTCTAACCATAAACAATGAACTATAGTTATAAGTTATGAAATTGTTAGTATAAACTATAATGTATGTTATGTGAAGAATGTAAGCTAAGTCAATTTTATATTCGGTTATTGAGAAGAACATACGTCCTAATCCTCCTAACTCTAAACCATGAGTCAACGACCGTATACCCTCTACACTAACCTTAAACCATGAGCTATAGTTATATGTTATGAAATTGTTAGTATAAACTATAATGTAAGTTATGTGAAGAATGTAAGTTAAGTCAATTTTATATTTGGTTATTGAGAAGAACATATGTCCTAATCCTCCTAACTCTAAACCACGAGTCCACAACCGTATATTCACTAGTTTGTTGTTCGATCCGTCGGTCGGAATGTCATTTGAATATGATATATTTAAAATGTACATTCACAAGTTAAATTAATTGTTAAAATCAAATTAATTACTAAACTATAAAAACCAAAATATCTATCATAAAGCATAACCATGAAGAAGCCCTAAACCCTAACCCTATAACACCATTTTAAATCTGAAACCTAAAACTAACCTTAACCATCAACCATACATTATCTTAAATCACAACATTAAGAAATTAACCCTAAAACTAACGTCAACCCTTAACTATAAGTCCATAACCCAAACAGCCAAATACTGAACTCTAAACCATGACCATATACGACTATACCCTATACTATAGTTATATGTTATGAAATTGTTGGTATAAGCTATAACGTATGTTATGTGAAGAATGTAAGTTGAGTCAATTTTATATTTGGTTATTGAGAAGAACATACCTCCTATGACTCAAAACTCTAAACCACGAGTCCACTACCATATACCCTATACACTAGCCTTAAACCATGAACTATAGTTATGTATTATGAAATTGTTAGTATAAAGTATAAACTATAACGTATGATATGTGAAGAGTGTTAGTTAAGTAAATTTTGTATTCAGTTATTGAGAAGAACATACGTCCTAATCCTCCAAACTCTAAACCACGAGTCCACTACCGTATACCATATACATCATAGTTAGTAAATACTCCGTTCAATAACAAGAACGGGCCATTTGGGATGACTCTGGAAAGAGGATACATTAAGGGCCTCTTGGGACACCTCAACCACTTGTGGAACTCACTAAATGTTTTGATGCAAGTATTATAGGTGATGGAGTGGATTCCCTAAAAACAAGTTCATTACTCGCCTTCCAGATATTCCAATACAACTACACAATTTTGAGTATGCCTAAGGGTGTGAGATTGTCCTTCAAACTGCAAAACCAAACCAAAGAACGAGGAGTAGCTCGAGGGAAATGGAAGAGAGGGGAGGGATATGTTCCAAGTATTAGCCACATAGTCACAAAGAAATAAACAGTGAAGGATAGATTCATATGGCATTGACAACAAAGACAATTGGTGTTTGGAGAGCATTTTCTTCTCAAATTGCTTTTTGTAGCAATGAGGTCTTTAATGCATCACCAAATGAAGTAATAAAATTTTGGAGGGAGGGACAAGCTCCAAATACATTTCCATCTATCTTTGTCAAACACCAAGATGCATGGTGTTGTTTAGTGTGGTTCCGCTCTCCCATTCGACCTATGGAATGTGTGGCAAGTAGACCGAACCGAGAAATTCTCATAATCCATGAATTTCCTAGCCCACAAATCAACCCCATTCTCTGGACCAATGGGGATACTTCGGATGTCATTTGCGTTCTCAATGGACACCTCACTACCAAAGACGTCCTGCTTCCACCGTCGACTCTCCGGATCAATCCAATCAGCCACTGTGGTTGAGGAATGGGGGTTTTGATGTAGGAAAAATCTCGGGAAAGAGTGCAACCAAGGATAGGTGGTAGTAGAGTGGTAACAAGTGGTATGAGTGGTTTGAATTTTGTTACCCTACATATATTAAAAATGGATATAAATTTTTAGATCACAACGAACACGTTCGATATGTGAAATTTTCTTGAAAATCCAAATTAAAAAAAACAATTAAAAATAAGAAAATGAAAAAATCACTAATTTTTATCTCTTAGATCTGACCCTCTTAAAACTGATTATTCACTCTATCCCAAACCCAACATATTATACGAGTAAGTAATTATTCATAATTTGGCAAAAAAAAAAGTAATTATTCGTAAAAAAGGAAATCCAAAAAACATAATTAACAAACAGAAGATTAAATATCAGCCAATGATTTGTTTGTTTCCCTTCTCCAAAAATGGCAACTTATATCCAAACTGTAAATGACAAATAGGCCGTATATGAATAAATGGAATCCCACAAACAAAAACTACCAAACACTCTTTTTATCTAAAAAGGTAAAAAAATGCTGCTGTTTTTTTGGTTTGAATTTCAGTCTGTAAATAGCCAGACTCCGACCCGGGTCGCTGCCCTATAAATAGGCTCCGAACCCAACCCGCTTCCTCCGCCTCTCTAAAGAAACGGAGAGAAACCGAGTTACTTACTACCGCGGAGTCCTTCGCCAGTTCTCTATTTATTCAAACCGCGTCGGGTTGTGGATGGTGTAGTGGAAAATCGAAAAAGTAAGCTAAAAAAAAACTGGGAAACTAATGATGGGTGGGGAAAACCTTCGTCCTTCGATTGCGACGACGTTGTTGCATATCGCCGCATTTTGCGTGGTGGCGGCGACCATAATCGGGAACAGCGGCGTCCAAGGTTCCCACAAAGTGTACCGGGAGTTGCAGTCTGTCCCCGCCGATAAGGTCATCGAAACTCACCGGACTGGCTACCATTTCCAGCCTCCTAAGCACTGGATCAACGGTACTTACGTTGTTTCATATTGTTTTTTTTTTTGTTTTTTTTTGGGGGTTTGAATAATGGTGGTTTTGGATCTTGTTTTCCTTCTTGTAACGACTTCATGTGCATGTTACCTGACAAAATCGAGGGATGAAAACAAAGGTTAATAATTAGTTTGAAGGGATTATAAGTATAACTACCAACTTTGTCTTTTTTTTTTGGTAGAATTATTTTTTTTTGGTAGAAACCAATAAGAAGAGTTCGTAACAAATTTGTGATTTATCTGTTGTGGTATATGTTACTGTAGATATGACAAAGTCGAGATGTTCCCTTTATAATGAAGCTAGGAAAAAAAAATATACGGAGAAGGAGAATATATGTAACACCTATTGTATTTTGATTTGTTTGTTTACTTTCTTTCATTCGTAGTATATTCAGATACGTTGATAACAAGTTCAGAATATGAAACCATTTCACAAGGAATGTCTCAATAACACCGAATTTAGCAACACATAGCATTTGCTTATAATGGTTTGGGATCAATTTTTATTTCCACCAAATGATAAAAAAAAAAAATTATTTCATCTTCCTAGTTATTGTGCGATTAAGCAAAACCAACGCCTGATTGACCGAACTAGTCCTCAATCCGAGTATCCTCCGAATATTAAAAGACCAACCAAAGATTGAAAAAAGGGGACACATGCATTTGCCAAAAAGAAGAAGGCTCTATGCTCCCTCCCTCCCTCCCTATGTTCCTAGTCATAAATTTATTGTAGTTGTTGACTAAAGGTTCACTAACTTGTGCTCGTTTCTGTTTTGTCACACCATGTACTGGTCATGAATGGAAAATTGTGAACGGCGCACAGATCCGAATGGTAAGTAAGAAGCCGGTTTTTGTTTTGCGTCTGATTCTGATGTGTTGTTCTTCTTCAGTTGCGGAAAGAAAATAACAAATTAGTGTGAATTTCCATTGAATCCAGGCCCAATGTACTTCAACGGGCTTTACCATCTGTTCTACCAATACAATCCCAAAGGTTCGGTGTGGGGCAACATCGTATGGGCCCACTCGGTATCCAAGGACCTGATAAACTGGGAGGCCCTGGAGCCCGCAATCGAGGCCTCGAAGCCGTTCGACATCAAGGGGTGCTGGTCCGGATCCGCCACCATCCTTCCAGGCAACAAGCCCTTCATCCAGTACACCGGGATCGACAAAGACGAACGCCAGCTCCAGGACTTCGCCGTTCCCAAGAACCTCTCCGACCCTTACCTCCGGGAGTGGGTCAAACCCGACCAGGGGAACCCGTTCATCGACCCGGACCCGTCGGTCAACGCCAGCGCCTTTCGCGACCCGACCACCGCCTGGTTCGTCAACGGGGAGTGGCACACTGTGGTCGGCAGCAAGAAGGACATGCTCGGGATTGCGTACCTGTACACGAGCAAGGACTTCAAGAAGTGGGTGAAGGCCAAGGAGCCGCTCCACTCCGTCCAGGGAACCGGGATGTGGGAGTGCCCCGATTTCTACCCGGTCTCCCAAACCGGGGACAGGGGCTTGGACACGTCGGCAGTGGACAAGTCGGTGAAGCACGTGTTTAAGGTGAGCTTGGATCTCACGAGGTTCGAGTACTACACCATCGGAGTTTACGACACCGACAAGGAAAAGTACATTCCCGACGAGGGCTCGGTGGACAGTTGGGCCGGGATCCGCTACGACTACGGCAACTTCTATGCTTCTAAATCCTTCTTCGACTATAAGAAGCACCGCAGGATTTTGTGGGGATGGGCCAACGAGTCCGACGGTAAAACCCGTGATGTCAATAAGGGTTGGGCCGGAATTCAGGTAATTAAACAACATTAGAGGGTTTTTTTTCTTTCGACGTCTTGCTATTTATTTCGTCGGGACAGAAAAAAAAAAACTGAAACTTGTATATATTAATGTGGTTTGATTTGATGAGCATCGCAGTTGATCCCAAGAAAGGTGTGGCTGGACCCAAATGGGAAGCAGCTGTTGCAGTGGCCAGTTGAAGAGCTGGAGACGCTTAGAAGCGCTCGCCCAGTTACGTTGAGCTCCAAGGTGTTGAAGCAAGGACAGAACATTGAAGTGGAGGGCATCACTGCTGCCCAGGCTGACGTGGAGGTGAGCTTCTCGTTCCAGAGCCTCGACAAAGCAGAACCCTTCGACCCCAAGTGGGCCGACCTTCCGGCCCAAGACGTCTGTCATGAGAAGGGCTCCACTATTCCAGGTGGGGTTGGGCCGTTTGGGCTCCTCACCCTGGCCTCCGAGAAGCTCGAGGAGTTGACTCCGGTCATGTTCAGGGTGTTCAAGAAAGGCGACAACCACGTTGTTCTCTTCTGCTCCGATGCCACCAGGTCACTACCTCCCTGGCCTGGACCATCTATATCTATCTTTTGGCATGTTAAATTTACCTTCAGGTCTAGTTAGTCACATTTTCGCTGAAGGTATATATGTATCAATGTATGTAATATCTTCTGGTTTGATTTCAGTTCTACCCTGACCAAGGACGACGAAAAAAGTTCTAACCTGACCAGGGACGACATGATGTACAAGCCGTCGTTTGCTGGATACGTGGATGTTGATCTGCCTAAAACTAAGAAGATTGCCCTGAGAAGCTTGGTAACTAATTCTGAACAATTAGATACAACAATGTTTTCCATTTTTTTGAACATTAATTGCCCATGAAATTAAATTATCGTTATTCTGAATGAATAGATTGATCACTCGGTGGTGGAGAGCTTCGCGGAAGGAGGGAAAACGGTGATATCGTCGAGGGTTTATCCAACGCTGGCAGTCGGCCCGAAAGCCCATTTGTTCTTGTTCAATAACGGGACGGAGGAGGTCACGGTCGACAAACTCACGGCATGGGACATGGCCAAGCCAGTCATGAACGTCCCTTTGGAGAAAGCATCCATTAACACCGAGCTCTGATTGGATTGTATTCGGTGCTGCAGCCGATCGAAGGTTAATCCGGATATAGGCGTAACATAGTAAAATAAAGAGTACTTAGCGCGTGGCGACATCAATCACAAGATGTATGATATATTTTGTTAAGTAATTAGTACGTATAATATTAGCTGTTTGGATCTATATGTTTTGTGGAGAGCTAAATGTAGTTAGTTTTCCCTCCATCAATGTTTAATTGAATGGATAGAGTGCTATTATTCTTGTGCTATTTGTTATTACTCTCGAAACACTTTCCTTTTTTTTAAAGGTAAAAGGTTAAAATCAAGGTTGTTAATTCGGTCTATTCTGTTGATCCTGTTGAACAAGTGGATTAACTGTTAATATATAGTACGTTCGCTTTATTCCGATTTAGCATGTATCTATGAAAATGTCAATATATAGAAAATATCATCTAATAAATGTTTTATAACATATAACATTACACCAAAATCGTAGATCGTACTTTGATATATAGTGAAAATTCAAAATCACTTTATATTCAAATTCAACTTAGGATTTCAAAAATAGGGTTAGGCAAAGATGCGCATTAATTTCACAAATCAAATAGGAAAAATAATTATATATGACCTCAGATCCGGGAACCTTGTTACGAGCACATATGCTCATTTTTCTCACCGAAATAAGGTCAAAATGTGTTAAACCTAAAAATAAAATAACAAAAGCATCAATGTTTAAAATCCTTTCTTTCCTTGTGCCCCCACCTGGTCACCTATCTATTCCCATCGTTTCTTCCTCCTTCCGTAGCGACGGTTGCGTCCCTGCACAGACGCCACCAAACTTGTCTTGTTGCACATATAGGTAGAGATGGACCCTCAATTCCAGAATGTCAGTGTCTCTTTTGCACTGGTGGAGCTAGGATGAAAACCATGTTGATGAGGTGGAATTTAGGTAAAGAGAATTTATCTGAATTTTGTTATGAGTGTGGGAAGCTGAAAGAAACCCGCTTCTAGGGATTGATTTTCGGTACCCGCAACTACTTGTAACGAATAGAGATTTAGGGTTGATATTAGAGATTTAGATGAGAAAGAACATAATAGATAAAGAACGGCCGAGATCTTGGATTGGTTGAGACGAGCAATTAGGAGTTGAGAGGAAAACTAGGGTTTATGAGATTCTTTTTAATATTCTTCTTGATTGATTATGGCGTAAACCCAAAGTACATATTTATAGGAAATAAACCCAAAATCCTAACAATTAACCCTAACCAATTCGGCCACCATGGCCGCCTAACCCTACTAATCCTAACACTACTAATTATTATATTTTACTAATATATATTCCTAACATTCCACCCTCCTTGAAAGCGACCTTGTCCTCAAGGTTGCAGTCAACTTTCGTCTTCTTGATCTTCCGCTTTCTTCGCTTCCAATTGCGCTCAATTCTATAAACTAAACTTACTCCAGCAACTTCCACTTTCCACGACTCTTCTCCCGCCACGTGGCACCTACATCCCAATCCATAGCCAAACAATTCTTCTTCCTTTTTGAATTTCACGAAATAAGAATCGGAGAATTGTTCTTCCTTGTGTTCTAGCTTGAGGTCTTCAAAGAAGGGATACATAAACTCCTCTATGGGCTTGGTGGCGAAAATAGCCCATAACTCTTCCCACCCTACTATTACTTTTCCTTGGATTCGGCCCACAAGCTCTTGAAAGAAAGAGGTGTGGCCCAAATCATTGTCAAGCTTCTATGTGTTCTTCTTCTTCTTCTCAATTTCGTTTGGGCCTTGCTCTCTTGCAAGCCCATCCAACAACATAAAGACCTCTTCCAAGCCTGTCTTCTTTAAGACACAATCCACATTGGCCTCCATCTTTTCATGCAAAAGAAATCCAATAAGTGAACAAATTTGCGGCCCAAATATCACTTGACTTGGCATGCTTTCTCCACTCAGCCTAGTGGACTTATTTTTCTCCTCCCAACTTGCTTCCTTTAAGTCAACCAGACCCACGACCCAATTGTTTAGCACCAACATAAGAAACAGCGGCTGTTGTGGTGGTCCTTGGCCCAACGCTCCATTCGTAGGGTTTGTGAGCGAAGAAACGCGGCCGCTGTTCTCCTTCTTCCTCTCTCTCTCCGACAACTTATTTTCTGGTGGTTCTGCTTCTTCTTCCGGCGGCGCACCGCGCAGAAGACGACGCTGAGCTTCTTGCGTCGATAGAGGCTCTTCTTCCGGCGTCTCCTTCCCCAGCGGCATAGGACCCACTCGTCGGCAGCAAGACCTGCCCAGCCGCAGCATCTCTGACTCGTCCACCTCCGACGTCTGCTTCCTCGGCGCTTCATTTCCCGGAGGCAAGCAAGGAAGCCAGCAGGGAGGCAAGCACGATTCAGCGTGCCTCTTCTCCGACCTCATCTCCTCGCCGCGTCGTTGGCCACTTCCCCGCCAAGCTCTACCAACGGCCTTCTGCTCACCACGCTCTTGGCCGTCCAATCCTCAGTCTTCATTTATCGCGAGAGAAACAGAGGCTCTTCCCGAACTCCTCTTCTTTCGGAACTTCCAGCCACTGATTCGAGAAATCAATGAAACTGATGTTGAATCCAAAGTAGTCGATGACGTGGGTTTGATTTGTCCGTTGTGCTCCTGATTATTTTTGGGATCATGGGTGATGATTGCGGACGAGAGGATTGACTTCCCTTTGGTTGGAGCACTTATTGGTGATGTTGGAATCATAACAACATCGGTATTCACGGCGAGCTTCTTATCCCAGATGGAAAGAACTTTGGCGTCGATGGTGGTCACAGGAATGACATCGAGGCCGCTTGCTCGGGGCAGCGATGATGGCGATGTTGTACAGAGGGTAGTCGCTGCTACAGCTGCCTTCTCAGCTTGCTCGAGCTCTATTGGGAACGCAGGTTATTCCAACAAATCCTCAAAATTCGTTTCTGTGATCCGCGGTTTGATTATTGCGACTGGAGGTGGGGTTGGACTCCTATCCCTTCTCGCCGCTTCCAACTTCGTCTTAAGAGCTAGTGTAAGTGCCTTGATTGAGATCTCTTCGAATCTCGACATGGCTCTGGTATGAGTGCCTGCAACCATCCTCTGATACCACTGAAAGAACCCCGCTTCTAGGGATTCTAGGGGCTGATCTTCGGCACCTGCAACTACTTGTAACGAATAGGGATTTAGGGTTGAGATTAGAGATTTAGATGAGAAAGAACAAAATATATAAAGAATCGGCCGAGGCCTTGGATTGGTTGAGATGAGCAATTAGGAGTTGAGAGGATAAACTAGGGTTTAGGAGATTCTTCTTAATATTCTTCTTGATTGATTATGACGTAAACCCAAAGTACATATTTATAGGAAATAAACCCAAAACTCTAACAATTAACCCTAACCAATTCAGCTAACATGGCCGCCTAACCCTACTAATCCTAACACTACTGATTATTATTATTCTACTAATATATATTCCTAACAGAAGCTTGGCCAAAATACAAGAGATTGTCAAGAATGGATCAAAGGGTAGATTCTCTTATGATGGTAGGCGAGAGCCTAGGTATGGATTAAGGCTTAAAGCTGAGAATTCAAGAACACTTTGAAGCATACATGCTGATTCCAAACCAAACTAGGGACTCAAGTTAACCACTCTATTATGTCAATGCTAATATGAGCTCCTCACCAACCTTCTCCTTTATTCCAACTTACAAGACAATCTAACCAAAACCAAACATCTGACCTTACCTCTACCCCAGATCTCTTGCATAAAGAAATCAATATGAATCCATCCCCTATCAACAGATCCCTTGACCATGCCCTGCTAACAAACCTGGCCCTTTCTCGTACTGATCTGACGGAAGCTGACCTTAGTCAAACATCCACTGAGTATCTGTTTAAACTCCTCACCACGATTGATGTCCCCCTCATTACCGGCGTCTTTTCCCACCTTCCACTTGCTGACCAGGAGAGAATCCTCCAAATCTTTATGGTTTGGACCCCTACAATAAATAACCCCCCCTCACCCTCCCTACAACCTCACCCATATCAACTCCCACAAAAAATTGCTTGTGATTCAAGCCCGAGGGAAAAAGTGATTGATTCGGGGTTAATTACACATGTTTTAACCTTCATTTATTGATAGTTTGATTTGGTAAATCATTGTCTCTCAACCTCTTTTACGTTAAGTTGTGCCTCTTTTGTTATATCTTAGGTCCTAATGCGTGAGGGAAGGTCAGACTGAAATGACAGTAGCTACCTACATTTTCAAACGATGTCACGACCATGACATTCTACCCCTGATTTTGACTGTCGACTCTGTAAATAGATGGCAGCTTTGAGGGATAAAGGAGAGCTTGGATGGGTTAGAATTTCTATGTTCCCTTCTAGGATTCTAGCTCAAAACCCCAAAGGAGGAGGAATACTAGTGAGAGAGTAGTCCTCTAGTTCTTTGGAAATTAGAGAGAGAAATTGAATAACAAAGGAAAAAGAAGAGGTTTAGGGTTTGCGCTTTACTAGAAGAGTGAAGATTTTCATCTCTCAAGGGTGATTCAAGCAATAAGGAAGCTACGGCCCGTGAACAGTGCTCAGCCTCCACTTTTTTGCTCGTTTTGACCTCTGAATGACCCAAAACTCGTCCCGGACCTTCACACACGTGCTATGACCTGAAATGTACCAAAACAAGCAAACCTAGCGTAAAATAGGTCAAGGGGCGGTGAGCTACTAAGCAAAGGGAACAAGAAATGAGGAGTAAATGTGTACAATTGGAATCGAATCACACCCACACACTTGAACGTTTGCTTGTCCCCAAGCAAACAAGTACAAAACAAGCAAGCTTACAACTTTTTTTTCAATAAAATTTGTTTTGAGGCATGTCATAGGGCACAAAACGAATGAATCACAATGGTTATTTGACACCAACCTATGGACAAAAACAAAGTAATCATGTCAACCACCACAACGACATTCAACTGTATTAAGATTGTGCAAATGAAGATTTCTCACATTATTCATGAACCAACACACAACATGCATCGAAGAATTACCAATCACAGTTACTCATGCATGAAGATCACATCATAGGAACGAACGATCGAGCAACCTAGGTTCTCACCGGGGTAAAAGAAACGAACAAAACACGATGAATAATTGCTCACTCTCGACCAGTGGGATCATGACCATTTCACGCAAAAGATGTGCATATTCACGCTCAATCCTAATGTCCCTTTACCATGGCGATAGCCTCTAAATGTTAGAGCTCACAAGATGGTTGTCGTTGCTAACTTGTCCGGAGGTCTTAGACACGGGTTCAAATGACTGGCTAGGGTCTAGGACATGGGGAAAAGGCTTTTTGGGTGGTGGCAAACATAACGTGAGGTTCCACATCTTCAACCTAAAACCAAAACAAGCTTCTATGGTTTCGACT